GTGACAAGTGAGTGAAGGCAGTGTGCTACTGAGGCTGCAGCAACTGGTCCAAGAGAACATTATTTTCCCCTTCTGAGCCGCTCACAGACTTCAAGTCAAGATGTTCCAGAAACGACTCTGGACTTAGGATTGGCCAGGGCAGTGAGAGTTTCACTGCAGGCTCCCAACACACTGCCACTGGATTCAGCGACAATGATACCCATCGCAAGTCAGCGACACAAAAATACCTACCAAGCCATGCTCGACCCCGAAGCGTCGGAGCCGGGCTCATCCTCATCCTTCTTCTTCTTGGTCGTCTTGGTCTTCTTAGACTGGGGCTCTTCCACACCCTCAGGATTGGCTTCGTTGTCCTTCTCTGTAGCCTCGGCATTCTTGCCGCGCTTCTTAGTCGTCTTACCCTTCGCCTTGGCTTTGGCTTTGGGCACCGCCTCTGGCTGCTCATCCGTCTTGGCGATCTTCATCTCAGGGATGTAAAAGGTGGATCCGTCTCGCTGCTGCTCTTCAAAGATGAACTCTGTCAACATCATCTCAAGCTTCCTGCAGTGGGCGTCCGCGCCGCAGACTGCCAAACAAGGAAGGCGAGAAGCCATTGCCGCTTTCAGCATCTCTCCTGCAGGGTTTGCCATGTTGATTCGAGATATTTACATGTGATTAGTATACTGACTAGTTAGTTCAAAAATGTCAATTGACATTGGTGAAGTGTCATTTTTACATTGTTGGGTCCTTGCGCCGGAGATGCGTCCACAACTCCGATTGCGGCCAATGAATGCAGCATCTCCATATAGTACTCCTGCGGCAGCATGGAACAGCTGAACACGCTCTCAAGCTCCCCAGCTCCCGCAGAGCCGTCAGGTTCGCTGGTCCCTCGCTCGCTGGCATCATCGGCCGGCTTGGCCAAGGACACGTGCCGCGCCCCCAAAACATCGAGTTTGTCCTTCCTGAGTGACACAGAGGGCAGGCTGAATCTGAGACCCTTGGAATTAACAAGCCTAAGCCTAAGCTAAGAGGACATTAATTTTTAAAGGACTAACCCGTGACCTGGGAGCTCGCCACAGCTTTGACGCGCCCAAGCACGAGATGTAGCCGATGACATCGCCGTGGCTGTAGCCCGGGTAGATCTTGCGCTCAACTTCCGGCGTGCTCAAACTCAACGGCTTCTCTGTGTAGAGGTTGCACACCATCTGCTGGCTGTAGGCACCAGCTCGGACGATCTGCTTCCGGTCACACACAGACTTCTCATTGAACATCAACCACACAGACAGCTTGGAAGCCTCCTTGAAAAGCTTTGGGCCAGCGCCCAACGGGTCCACCACAGCCACGACAGTGCCTTCTGCAGGCAAGGAGCAACGAACCTTGTCCACTGCCTGGGCGCCCAAGCCGATACAAGGGCAAGCAGCAAGCTTCTCCACGAGGTCACTGTCCTGAAACGGCAAGAATGAAAACAGGAATCAAAAGTGATCGCTTCAAAAAATGACTTGGAAAAAATATTTAAGGCAAGGAACTGGTTTCCAACGCTTTCCGCGCAGCTCAGGTTGGCAGTTCGGTCCCGAAGATTCCCCAAGCAACGCTGTGTCCAGGTGCACGAGAATCGTTTTCTTGCCAATCTCAGGCTGCAAGCCAGTTGCAGCCTGCCACTGGGAAACTTGGAGCTGCAGCTGGGAGTCATTCTTGCCTTCGGTCACGAAGGTCAGGTACATCCTCACTGACTTGTTGGCTACTGCTCGCCAGGCCGGTCCGGCTTCGCGAGGGGACCCTAGGGATTTAACAGGGTCTGCTCGCTCGCAGAGCCAGACCGGTCCGGCTTCGCGAGGTGACCCTGGACCACCTTGGGCGCAAAGTCTCACAGGAGACCAGTGGGGCCTACCTTAGACCACTCTGCCTCCTTCGAAGCAGGAGGCAGAGTCACAGAGTCAGCTCTGTTGTCCACTGAAATGTCTTGAGGACAGCACAGGCAACCAAAGGTTACTGCCCAGGAATTGTCAGATAGGTGAATTCGCTAAGTTTTACCTTCAACTCAAGCGGCTGCCGACACTCCAAAAGAACGACCGTAGTCGATGCGCGCGCTAGTCAAAAACTGCACAAACTCAGCCTTTGTTTGGCAAAGGCCGCCTGCTCGTTTCAGCTCGGCAAAGTGCCGGTCACTCTTGTCTTTGACAAGACAAACAACATTTTTTCGCACTTGGTCCATGGCTACTCCAGACCATAGTTTCTGATCAAAAACGGCCCACCTCAAAAGCTGAGTCATGGCCGGCTCTTCTTGTTTGAAGTCTGGTGTGCAATGAATCTGAGGCCACTTCCGTCTCAACGCAGCAAACTTCTGAGAGCAGTATTGAGATCTCATTCCCCCACGCTTCAGAAGCAATGAATGAGAAATAACACAGCCCCCCCGTCGTCGCGGCCATGAAATAAGCCTTCAATGGTACA